ACTGAAGTCGGGAATTCGTTGCTGCACTGTGGTAGACTGATTCCAGTAGAAGCTGGCCTGAAGTAGCACTCGTTTGACATGCTGGAACAGTGCTGGCTGCTGCTTGTGTAGGTGGGAGGTTCTCCAACATTCTGCTTCCAGTGGTGAATAGGCGATGCCGGGCCTCGTTGACACCATCTGCACCACATCCCTTGCTGTACATGAGAACAACTAGGCATTCGATCCGCTGCATATGTATCGACTCAAGAGTGAAGACATCAGGGTTTTGCGTGAGGGTCACCAATGTGTCGGTTAACTCTGTTAAGCTGGTCCATGCTGCCCAGGCAGTCTTCTTTCCACAACCAAAAAACTATTGGAAAAAAAAATTTGAAATGTTGTATTACACCCGGTTAGGCTGTGGAAGAGGGATAGTGCGAAGGATTTTGAAGGACCAAGCTTGGTGAAGATGGATACAAAACAGCCTATATCCGAACCGTGGATGGCGATGTTGTTGTTTTGGCAGTCCGATTTTTTGAGAATTTCGGCCTATCGGAGCTCTGGGTAGGCCTCGGTAGCGGCAAACATTACCGTGACATTCCCGTCCATGTCATCTTTACCAAGCTTGGTTCTTCAAAATCCTTCGCACTACCCCTCTTTCACAGCCTAACCGGGTGCGATACAACATCACAGTTTTTTGGTTGTGGAAAGAAGACTGCCTGGGCAGCATGGGCCAGCTTACCAGAGTTAACCGACACATTGGTGACCCTCACGCGAAACCCTGATGTCTTCACTCTCGAGTCGATACATATGCAGCGGATCGAATGGCTAGTTGTTCTCATGTACATGTGGTGCAGATGGTGTCAACGAGGCCCGGCATCGCCTATTCACCACTGGAAGCAGAATGTTGGAGAACCTCCCACCTACACAAGCAGCACTGTTCCAGCATGTCAAACGAGCGCTACTTCAGGTCAGCTTCTACTGGAATCAGTCTACCACAGTGCAGCAACGAATTCCCGACTTCAGTGAGTGGGGCTGGAAAAAAGATGGTACGGGTGCCTGGCAGCCGCTATGGACTACACTCCGTGACGCTTCAGAAGCATGCACCCTTCTGCTGCACTGCAGCTGCCTCAAGTCATGCACAGAAAGGTGCAAGTGCAATCGCGCCGGTGTCAGGTGCACGATGCTCTGCAAATGCGAGAGCGGATGTAGCAACAACGTTGACAGCAACGACTAGTGGGACTTAATGCTAAAATGTATGGGCACAGGCCATACATATATCGAGAGCACTGTTGTGCTCAGTTGAACTTACTGATTATATAACTGGACACAAACCATGACAGTAATCACTTCTAACCAAAGATTCCATATCGGAAAGCCTACCTTGCCTGTTGTATTTGTCTCTTTATACACAACTGTGTAACTGTAACTATGTTAACCTAACATACATGTAGGAATAGATGACCAATATGGAATAGACAAATCAAGCAAATTATAATTCTTGTTGAAGCCATGTCCACCATTGTCCACCATGTTTGAGCTTCGTAGAATAAAAATTTACAAGAATATTTGGTACTTAAATCATTCCTTTTATTATTTCCTTACGATAATGTATGTCAGTATGTTTATGTGTGCATGTTAATGATTAATAACCCTCAAATTAGTTTTATTCCAACATTACATCTCCCCAAAGATAGGAAGAGATTAGAAAATCTAAGTATACACATCATAGCATTTGCCCGTATGGCAGCCATATTGGATTTGACCATTGTAACAGCCCAAAGAAACCTCAAATCGATGTAAGAGCATCATAATCAGATTCTCTAACCCCGAAAACCCCATAAATATATAAACTTTTATCATACTAGCTCTTTCTCTTTTGGAACTACACTTGATCTTTAGCTCAGATGGCGGCCATTTTGGATTTGCCCAATATGGCGGCCCCAGGGGGCGCCCTTCTTGGCGCCCGGCAGAAATCGTAATAGTATGGTATAAGCTACCTCTGGACCAAATTTGGTACTTTTAGAAGAATCTGCACCAAAATATCCCTAACAGACCTGACTAATAGACATTCTATCCCTAATCATATAAGGGTGCCATATATCGGAGTGATGTACCAAACTACTTATGACCTGTCATAGAGGAGTCTCAACTTACTTTTAGTTGTCGTAGCAGTACCTACTTAATTTTTTCACATTCTAGATCAGTTCTAGCCTACTTTTACACAACACCGGAATGTCCCAAACTTACTTTTTTATGTTCTACGGGTACCTACGTACTTTTCCATGTCACGGAGTAGTCACAACCTACTTTTACATTTCATAGCAGGGTCCCAAACCTAATTATTCATTTCCAGTCCGTCCCATATCCGTGTTAGCTCCCATCTTACTTTTACCTTGCATATCAGGGTGCCATCTATCTATTTCATGTCCAGTCGGGCCCCATATCAGTGACAGGTTCCAACCTACCTGTTTACACAACGAAAATATGTCACAATTAACCTACTCTTCAGTGTCAGAGTCAAAACTCGAATAGCGAATTTGGTCCAGTACGGGAGCATAATTTTTGCACGTGCCTCGCTTATTTACAGTCTACGGTGAGTTTGAACCTGAAGTATATTGCACCTGCGGGCCACGGGGAAGCAAAGATCGAAGCTAATCAGGCTGGATCACTGCAGGCTGGAGTCACCGACAGCTCTGGTGGTAAGCACTTCAGCAGAAACACGTCTCAACACATGCCTGCAGAGGCGGTCAGTGTCACACCATGTGAATAATGCCAATCTTACCCCTGTTTGTGGATACGTAGTGTTATTTTATTATTTATTTACGATCGGACTAAATGACACTTTATGCCTGTGGTAATAAATTGTGTAATGGTCATAATTGTCAATATATGTTCCAATATATTATATTAGTGCATCACGTGATAAATCGTTGAAATTCCATTGGATAACGCAGCAGGCACTATTAGCAAACTGCGCAAAATAGTGAATGACTTAATATTTTAATGGTTCCTCCGCTTCCCTCTTCACACCCTATGCGCCCCCGCCTCTCAGCTCTGCAATCTTTGTGTTCGTTGTTCTCTGCTCCCTAGATATATGTAAATGTTCAGTGGCGGATCCAGGATTACGAGGAGGGGGGTGTGAAACACAGACGGGGGGGGGGGTATGGGGGTCCTCCCCCCGAACATTTTGAAAATGTAGATCGCAGGAGATGATATTTGAGGCACTTTTTAGTACATGTACAGCCTTCGTTCTGACTACGACAATTCTCTTTTTAGTAGAACAATTTATTTTATTTTTTATTATTTTAAACTTTAATTTGGATCAACAGGGGGGGGGGCATGGCCCCCTTTGGCCTTCCTAACTACGCCACTATATTACACAATGATCATGATTATATAAATAATAATTTTGCTTGCACTGTATTTTCCAGACAGCCTCTCTTGAGTTACCCAGCTATATTCGGTGTGGTTATATGATCAAGGTATCGATATAGATCAATATCCCACATCTGAATCCTGCAATAATGTCTCTAGAGGTGTTTGTTGGAAATGCTGTCAATGTGCCAAACATTGAGAAAGTTGGGAAAAGTGATCCTTACTGCACAGTGGAGTTTTTAGGTAAGACCATTGCTTAATATCATTTATTTAAATGATTAATTTTAATGATTATTATAAATGCATGCACTATGCATTGACAGCTAGTGGGTGTATTTGGAGCAGTGGCTTTTTGATATCTAATTATATTATTGACAGTTTAGAACAATTTATATTTTACATGTTCTGCAGCTTTTCTTACATGCATGTAGGTGTTTTATTACATTACATGCAGGTGTCAAGAAAAAGACCCAAGTACAGAAACAGAATTTGAATCCAGTGTGGAATGAGGTAATTCATGCACGTGCATGTGCATGTTCTAGATATGTCTAGAAATATTGCCTGATAGCATGATCACATATCTATACAGGATATACTATATATATATATATATATATATATATATACATACACAAACCCACCCCACACTCTTCCTCTTTCCAGGATATCCTGTGATGACACAATGCAGGAAGCATACGTGGTTATCTTGTTGTAACGATGCACCCACACTCTAACCTACCTATTAGTGTGTGCGTGCGTGCGTGCGTGCGTGCGTGCACGAGTGCATGCATGTGTGTGTAGAAACAATTGATGTTTTCTCATTCATTTAGGTTTTTTTTCTCCAAGTTAAAATCATTAAAGTCACGTTTCCAATATAGTTTGTCTTCAAAAGTTCAATAACCAATTCTTATATTTATGTAGAAATGTTTGCATGGCTATTTGGCATGCATGCAGGAAAGGAGAAGGGTATTCACTGCAGTATATTCAATGTGGTATTCATATCAGCAGACAGGATAAAAGTGTGGTAGCAAATATCCTCGAGGTAAGAAACTGGCAGGTGGGCTGGCAGGCAGGCAGGCCGGCAGGCAGGCCGGCAGGCAGGCCGACAGGCAGACAGGCAGGCAGCCAAGCACACAGGCAGGAAGACAGGCAGGCAGGCAGACAGGCAGGCAGACAGGCAGACAGCCAGACAGGCAGAGAAACAGACAGGTTGGTAGTCTATTAGGCAACCAGGTTGACAGCCAGACAGGCTGCTGGCTGGCTGGCAGAGAAGCATGCAGGCAGGCAGGCATGCAGTCAGGCAGACATGCAGGTAGGCAGGTAGAAAGCCGAGCAAGATATATGTATTTTTGTATGCGATTCTTAGAACACATCTGCCTATTTAAGTATTTATTTTGTCATCATTTCTGTGCAATCTGTAGGGTGCGAAATTAACGGGGGTCCGGAGTCAAATACTCTCTGATTTACTAGCCACGTTCACACGTAGCAACAAATTCCGTATTTAGCGTTCACACAAGGCTAAAATGCGCAGTCCAACAAATACGGAATCTAAATAGATTCGGTATTTGTTGAAATACGCGGCTTCCCAGATGCCGAATTACTTCTCGTGCTTGAGAAATTCCGAATCTCTTGGACGGCGTATTTCTCTCGTGTGAACGCTATAAATACCGAATTTCTGAAGCCACGTATTTTATAGACTGGTCCGCGCTTGACAGTTACACTTGCGAAACGCGAGTGGAACTGTCGAGCGCGGACCAGTCTAAGTATTTTATTGGCAGTTGCTGTGCACTGATTGTTTATTTCGCATGATTGTTCGCTTGGACACATTGTTTTTTTTTCATTGTACTAAAAAATATGGCATGGATTGCAAATATGGCATTTCTGAAGCCGCGAAACAGAGTGTGAACGCTCGGTCGCGTATTTGTCTCAGATTTGATCAGGTTTTATCTCGCAAATACCGAATTTTATAAATACGGAGTCTCGTGTGAACGCAGCTATTGTCGGACTCCCTGATTTGACATATGCAGGAGATGTGACTTCCTGAAAATTCTGCCATACTAACTAGTTTGTTCCGGAGCACGGCTTCGCGGAATTACTGTATTTTTTCAGCTAATGTCTAAAGAAAATTTGGCAGACGTGCAACCAAGGCCGTACGCAGGAAATTTTCTGTAGGGGGGCAAAGGTACTCCCCATGCCCCCTGTGCCCTAACGTTTCGCAATTTCACATTTATTTATTTAAAGTGTAATATTTCTTTGATGATTTAAGATAACCTTTTGTCACATTTCTATTTTATTTCTAAAAGTGTACAGTATTTGTCCCATTAAAAGGCATACTCTAAAAATCTCTAGGGGGGCAACTGCCCCTGCTGCCCCCATGCTGCGTACGGCCATGCGTGCAACTGCATGAATTTAAAAAAAAGCACATGCGTTCTTGTTAATATGTTTAATTTTGAACCTCAGACTGCGGACTCCCTCATTTTGCTGCGGACTCCCTCTTTTTGAGGTAGGGACTCCGTTGGACTCCCTTGTTCAAAAGTTAATTTCTACACCTGAATCTGTGTTTAAAGAAAAAACTTGTAAAAGCACAAGTATGGTGAACCATAGTTGATTACAAATGTGATTATACAGTCTTGTAAGTAAATATGAAAAACCCAGCCAGTCGTGATTTAGAAAATTGTGATTTCTACTGCAATAACCTATATATATAGAAAAGTCCATAAAAAGTAACCAATCCTGCTCAAAAATTACCAGTGCCGAAATGGAGGATGCATGGGCCGCTATTTCTACTAATAGATTATACAGTGCATTTATATTGTGTGTATAATTTAGTAAGTATTAATTATTAAGTATAATATTGTATGTGACATTCATCTATGCTTGCAGCAATTGGTGTTCACCCTGGCTGATAAACCGCTAAGCTCCTCAGACAAGATCGACGTTTATGTAAAGGATTGGGAGCGCGTGGGTAGAAACAGGTAAGCACAATCAAACCTCTCTTAGCTGACACCCTCGTAAGGCGGACACCTGTCTATAAAGGACACATTTGGGCTCTTTCTTGAGCGGCATATATGAAGTAAAGCAACCTTTATAGAATGGACATCTATTTATAAGTGACAAGTTCGAGTGTTCCCTGGTGTGAACCTTATATACACGCTTGATTGTATGTGCCATGTACAGCACTTCTATCTGTAAATGTTTTATCTGGAGTATTGGTGAACTTGGAGTATAAGGTCTTTTTCTTCTATTCCTGCTCCAGTGAAGGAAGAATTGACACATTTTCCTGATAAGCTTGTCAGGTAGTTAAGGGGGTTTATGTCGGGCTTGCGAGCCGACTCGACTGGAAGCAACTGGATTTTGAGCAACTGGAAGCGATTGGCAGCGACTATAGTTGCGCAGATAATATAAGGTCTATGTCTCCCTGACCTCTGTTTGACCTGGCTTGTTTAGCTATTTCTGACTAATATATATATATATATATATATATAATATATATAGGGTTAGGGTTATAGGGTTAGTCAGAAATAGCTAAACGAGCTTGGTCAAACAGAGGTCAGGGAGACATGGACCCTACGGGCACTAGTTGCGTCCAGTTGCCCACTGTTCTATTCCGAGCAACTAGTGGCGGCCAGTCGCAGGCAGTCGTATCGCAGTCGACCGACCTAAGCACTGCAGTCGCAGTGAATTGCACCCAGTTGCTTCCAGTCGAGTCGGCTCGCAAGCCCGACATAATTAAGCCCCCCTTTATAGTCAATCGTCATTGTCATAAGTCGTTCTAAAAGACATTACTTAGTAATGAAGTGATGCAAAGTCGATGATGTAGCATGCATGCATGAAAATCGTGTATAAACATGTATAGCTTGACCAACCTAGCAAGGGAGAGGGGTGCTGTAGTTATCTTGCTGAAGTGGCTAGGTTAGTCTCCATGTCAGAAAGGGGAATTGAAAAAATCTTTGTTTGGAAAATCGTGGCTGATGATATGATCAGTCCGAAGCATCCAAATGTCTCTCCACACTGCCCCACTACACAGTTGCTAAAGAGTCCCACCCAATTCTTTACCGCAAGTTAAGATTTGACGAAGAGTGGCCTAACTACTTGGCCGAGATCCGTGTGATATATTTAGTCCCAGCCACATGTGGCAGCTGGGGATGCTACGTGGAGGCTGTGGTGCTCCCTCGCATCATCATCGTCTTGGCAGGTGATGCCGCAGGGAAATTCCCAGCGTCAGATGCATAAATGTGTTTTTGTATGGAGCTGGGTCCGTGCACGGGAACACGTAAATACAGATGCAGGCGTGGTCAGAGAACCGCCATGATTAATATACCATATGATATGCTATATGTATAAATTAATACAAGGTTACACACATATGGGCTGCAGTACCAGATTGTGATTTTTGTCATTTTTTAAATGCCACGTTATTCTTGCAATTTTGTTATTTTGGATATTAGCTGGATCACTGATCGCGTTTATGGTTTAAAGGCAGAGTTGAAGGTGAGATGTCACGTACTTCTGTAGACACTCCAACAGCTATAGATTCAAGATAATTTTTGTTCAGATAATGTTTTAAGTGTACATATAGCCTTGTGAAACTTCTGAGAAAACTCTCTAGAATCACAAACAAGTACTTGTCCTATTTATCACTGTAATCGCATCTACGTTGTACTTTTATTCGAATATCTTGATGAGTAACATCTGCTTTGTTTCTTACCTACAACGTTGATCATATTACAGCAGCTTGTCAATGTTCGCAAAGTTTGGATTTGATGAATTATGTTTTCGATGGTTTTTATGAATGTCATGGTTGTCTGTCTCTCTCTCTCTCTCTCTGTCTCTCTCTCTCCTCCTCGTCCTCCTTCACCTCCTCCTCTTCCTCCTCCTCCTCCTCCTCCTCCTCCTC